TAGTAATAAGAACTAATAGATATAATAGATATAATATATATAATAGATATAGTAAATATAATAAAAATGATAGATCTGTTAGAAATGATAAATCTAATAAAAATATAATATCTGTAATATCTGTAAGATCTATAAGATCTGTAAGAAATATAAGATTTCTTGCACAGTAATTTGAGCCAATCAGAATCAAGTCACATGTATTAGAATTAGTGCTTTCATCAAAATCATTCTGATCTCATGATCTTGTGATCAGAATTACATAAATTGTGCTTATTAAAATCATCTTGGTGAGCTGAATCCAATGATGATTGTTTCATCCAAATTGGTTCAGTACATTAAAAGTTATAAATAAAAATATGTAAAACTCTTAATGTCAACAATATTTATATAAATCTTTTATTTTTTATAATTAAAATCAGTAATAAAATTCAAATATATGTAGTAATTCGAACAATATAACTAACATAGTAATTTGATTAACATATTAAAAGATTAACATTTAGCTGTCTTGTTTAAATTGACACAACATTGTTAAACTTTCTTAAATTCACCTGTAAGAATTATATATCTATAACACACTTAGAAAACACTAAGATAAATGCACTTGTTGAGTTAAAATCTTATCTTTCAAAATAACTATACAGTAAGGCATCTCCAAATATATCCATCCTAAGGTCATAATCTTTTTAAACATATTCTTAAATTATGGTTTAAATTTTATAATGAATTACTCAAGAGTTTAGTTTAATGCATTTTGATTTAATATTAGTACAGATAGACACTCTAGATATATTCTACATGGACTAGGCTTTTACAATATGCATTTAAAAAACAATAAGAAAAAATGCACTTATAGAGGTTAAATATATTATTTAAAATTTTTGTATTTAAGTTTTGAATTTATTTATTAAATTTATTTAGAGAATTAATTTATTTATTAGATTTATTCAATTATTTTTTTGCTTTTTTTTCTTTATCAATCATTCTAATGCTTCTTTTTTGCTTTTTAGATTAATAATTTTCTTCTTGCTCTTCATTTTCTTCTTGAGAAATTTCACCTTTGTCTAACTCATCATCATCTGATTGTTTTGCCTTTTCGTGACATTGAACATCTAAATTAGCATAATCTGGTTTTTTTTAGTTTACTTTTACGAGATGAATTAATATCTGTATCAGCATCAATAATATTCACTAAATACTTAGTAGCAACACCATCTCAGTCAATAGAGGAAGAAGTGGTATGTTTAGTACATTTTGGTTGTATTTCAACAGTATTGGATTCAACATCATCAGCAATGATATCAATAATTGATCAAGTATTGGAAGTAGTCAAAGAAGAACTCTCTAATAGATTATAATTCAGGTGTGGCAATTTTATGTGCTCAATATCAGATGCCTTGATCATTATTTTATCGAAGTTAGAAAATTTAAAGATTCCTAATATAAAATATATATTATCTATTTTAATATTTAAACTTAAAATATCTAAATATTTTTGAAATCTCATAGATTGTGAGGGATAAAAGACAGTCATCTATATGTTGATATTGGGTGTATTAGTAACTAAGTTATATTCAACACTTTCTATACTAAAATAGATAATTTCTTAAGTTTCCTTTGGTATACAGTTAACAATAACAGAAAATATATAGTGAAAGACACACAAAGGAATACCAGTGAGGTTAAATTCATGATTAGGGTTTTTAGAGTCAAGAACACTAACATATGCAACAGTAATACATTGTTCAAATTTTTCAACTATATATTTATTTGAAATAAATACAATATTATCAGTAGTGAACATTTGAATTATTAAGTATTGGACCTAATATACATTTAGTGATAAAAGAATTTTAAGTTTGGGAAGGAGAGGTTGTTCATCTGCAAGATAGAAATATTTTCATTTAATCATTTTAGATGTTTTTTTAAAAAGTTTGAATTTCGTATAACTATATAAGTATGATCAACTATTATTCATACTTATAATAACAATGAAAAGCATGACATAATAAGGTATTTGTTTCAATTTTAAATTTTTTGTAATTATGAATTATGATAAACTATTTTGTTAAAAGTTTACTTTTATATTAAAAAAAATATATTATTATAAAAACAAGGTAGTACTTTTTAACAGAATAACTATAGCTTTTAATTATAACAATAAACTATTCACACTTATAAATTTACTATTATCAGAACATTATTAATTTGAGGCTTTGAATTATAATAATGAGTTTATTTATGGTTATAAATTTACTATTATCAGAACATTATTATTTTAAGGCTTTGATACAAAAATTTTTATTACAATACAAACATCAATATCATCAATAAACTTCAGTGTACAGATATTTTTTAACAAGAATCTGTGATTTGATATTATTCCATATTAAGAAATAATTTTATACAGAATGATTGCCTTGTTAATTAGTTAGTAATTATGATAAAAAAGACAGGTCGATAATTGTACAAATTGTTTAAAATAGAAAACATAACTGTTATGAGCTAATACTAATAACCAAAACTCATAAAAATTAATTTTAAACCTTTTTTACCTTTTTTAGAAAAATAATATTACTCAGGTAACTAATAATTGAATTAGAAAAGAACAATATATAATTTATGTTATTTGCAAATAGTGTGAGCCCGATTTTCGGGGTCACGGGTTCCCGAATCGGGATGACGATCCTTACCCGATCCAAGGTCACGCGAAAGGTAACAGAAATGTTACTTATGGTACTTATGGTACTTATGTTACTTCTGCTACTTCGGCCATATATGCGTTAAATGGCATATCGGCCTTTTATTACATTTAGTGAATATATGGAGTATAAGGAATATCTGGCATTTATGGCATAAATTGATCGCGAATGTAAATAAGACGTTTATTATAAATAAAGGGCATTTCCGCCCCGGGAAAAAAAAGCAACTCGTCTCTTATACAAATAAACTTTCAGTACCAATAAATATCCGATCCATAATAAAATATAAGTGCTCTAATAAACTAATAAACTGTCGTTAATTCCATCGTTACCACTATCGTTCGCCAAATAACACCACTAACTCGCCATTGACGACTCGCCGCGAGTCACGTGACAAGACCGTAACGTAATAGAAGAGTTCCAACCCCGATTCGACGCAGCGTAATCCCGGGTTGAGGTAGATAAGAGAAGACTAGATTAGTAAGAGAATAGATTAAAGGAAAGACACAGAGAAGAAACAAGTACTTACCTACGGATAAACCACCAGCCAAATCTAACACGCCTATTTCGACTTAGCCGCCGTAGGTTACGCGAGAGTTGGATTAGTTTAGCGACAGACTCACCGATTTCCGGAATCACAATAGCATAAGCCACTTTTCCTAATATAGTAATTAAAGTAAACATATAAAATCACAAGATAACGTGTAACCAAAAAAATTCTGAGAAAACAGAAAAATCGCAAATTACTCAAGATTTTACTATGTTAGCTAGTTTACTTCTGAATCAAAGTTTTCAGCACGAAATTTTAGCACCGTGAGTACATTTAAATTTTGAATATCAAGCAAATTATAGCCTGCACAGATTATCATCTTCGTGCCCAGTGATCGACATAAACTGTGACAGATTCAGTACAGTACGTGCTATAAATGTAATAAAATATTCATAGCCAATAAAATTAGATCAAAGCAATCGATAATTCAATAACAAATTATCGTATCATCAATGAATACTTAAAAAATGTCCAACGGTTTCTTCATTAACCATGGTACAAGATGGTTTTAAGTATAAGTAATACAAACGCGGCTTAGTTATATTTTATACAATGAACACGTTTGATCCGAATGACGCAATTTTTAGAAGAGAGATCACCACGAGCCTGCATATATTACATGTGCTAGATAAACAAGATAGAAATCAGGATAACGTACCATTTGGAACAACGTCCAATCAGAAGCCCGTATTCGCACACAACATTTCACTCTCCGTATAACCATAAGTAGCTGCGCAACGTTGTCGCGCGAAACCAGGAACGGGAGAAATCTACGCAGACACCATTTCAGTCACCGGAA